CAATGAATCTGAATTTACAACATAGATTAAAGAGAAGGATTTACAGCTAAAGGAAGAAATCTCCTTATAGAAAGAGAATGATTATAACATTCTAAATGGACTCACAAATGATCTATATGATTATTACAATAATTGCGATACTCCAAAACAAGTTTACGAGGCTATGAAAAACAAGTATTGAAGAAGCTGGAGAACAAAAGAATGATTTTAGCAACTACGAAAAGTATCAGATGGTAGATGAAAGATCTGTGGATACTCAAAGTTATGAACTTCAAAAGGAATTCTCATGAGGTCATCACTAAAGGTATGTATTTAGATGTATTTTTTAGAATCTGATTATTCTCCTTGAGTTAAAAAAAGAGGAATCTTAGAGACAATATCAAGAAGAAAAGTCTTGGTTGTTTTAAACAACAAATAAAAATTCGGTGTAGTTCTGAAGCCATTTGGAAAATGATTAAAGAATCAGAACTGCAATGTTGTGATCCGAATTAAGAATGAGATCCTTTCTATGGTCTCAATTGCTCCAACTAGGCAACAATCACCACCTCAAAGAAATGATGTTGTTTTCCATTGTTTTAACCATGGAAAATCATGTCATAAGATTAAGAAATGTAGAAGAGGCTTGAACCTGGTGCTACCCCTAATGCATAGGTCAAACTGACTAATGGGAAATTTATTTCTATGATAATTGAAATCAACACGGTTGATGAATTTGATGATTGGTGGATAGACACTGGTGTTTCTCATCGTGTCTGTTATGATCGTGTTATGTTTAAAACATACACGAATACTAAAGATAAGAAAGTGTTGTTGAGATATGTCCACACCACTAATGTTGCTAGAATTGGAGAAATGGAGTTGAATTTCACCTCCAGAAAGACTTTAATCTCGAAGGACGTCATACATGTTCTTGAGATTAGGAAGAATTTTGTTTCTGGTTTTCTTTTAGGCATAGTTTAGTCAGTCCATTGGGGTAGATTTGTACACCATTACAAAGAATGACATTTTTGTGAATGAAATTGATATGTTTAAAAACTTTGTAAAGAATTTAAAAATCAATTATTAAAGGATCTGATCCCCTAGACCTTATACACTATGGTATATGTGAATTACATGGAACTTTAACTAGAAATAGTAAATGTTATTTTATTGACTATTATTCTGATTATACTTATGTATATTTAATGAAGAATAAAAATGAAGCACTTCACATGTTTAAGATGTATGTAACTGAAACTGAGAATCAACTTAGTAAGAAGATTAAGAGACTTCGTAGTGATAGGAGAACTGAATATGATTCTAGTTTATTTGATGAATTTTATACATGGAATTGTACATGAAATGACTGCACCATACTCTTTTGAAATGAATGGTAAAGCAGAAAGAAAGAATATAACTCTTATTGAACTTGTTGCAATTATATTAAATTTTGGTGTTGCTTCTCACTGGTGGGGGAAATTTTGTTGACTATTTGTTATGTCCTGAATCGAGTTCCCAAGTTAAAAAGTAATATCTCTCCTTATGAGATATTAAAGAAAAGACAACCAAAATTGTCTTATTTAAGAACTTGGGTTTGTCTGGCATATGTCAGAATTCAGGATACGAAGCGAGTTAAACTTGCTAATAGAGCCTATGAATGTGTGTTCATTAGGTGTGAAGCAAACAGTGAGGCATATAGGTTCTATGACCTAAATGCAAAAGTGATCATAGAATCAAATGATGTTGAATTCTATGAAGAAAAAAATTTCCTTTCAAATCGAGAAATAGTGGGGGCACTCAATCGAGTCACATTCATGTGATAAGAAGCACAAAAAGCAACGACGATGTAGAAACAGAACTTCGAAGAAGTAAAAGAGTAAGAGTTTCTAAAGACTATGGGAAGAATTATGCGACCTATAATGTAGAGGAAGATCCAATGAATCTTCAAGAAGCCTTGTCATCTCTGGATGCAGATATCTGGCAAGAAGCTATTAATGATGAGATAGATTCTCTAGAATCTAACAAGATCTGTCACTCAGTAGACTTGCCTCCTGGATGCAAACCAATCGGTTGTAAATGAGTTTTGAAAAAGAAACTAAAACCTGATGGAACTGTTGATAAATACAAGGCTCGCCTTGTAGCCAAGGGTTTTAGACAAAGAGAGAATATAGATTTCTTCGACACCTTTTCTCCGGTCACCAGAATGACATCCATTAGGGTACTTATCTCAATAGCTGCTATTTATAGTTTAATAGTACACCAAATGGATGTTAAGACAACTTTTTTCAATGGTGAATTAGAAGAAGAAATCTATATGGAACAACCGGAAGGCTTTGTGATCCATGGACCAGAAAACAAGGTCTGTAAGTTAGACAAGTCTTTGTATGAGCTGAAGCAAGCTCGGAAGCAATGACATGAAAAGTTTGACAACTTAATGATATCAAATGGGTATAAGATGAATGAAAGTGACAAATGTGTTTATTACAAATATGAGAATCACATTTGCACTATCATATGTCTCTATGTAGACGACCTATTCATATTTGGGTCAAACATTCAGACCATCAATGAAGTGAAATCATTGTTGTGCAACAACTTTGATATGAAAGATCTCAGTGAAGCAAGTGTGATCCTTGGTATCAAGATCACGAGATCAGAACAAGGCATCTCCTTGGATCAATCACACTATGTGGAAAAGATCTTAAAGAAGTATAATTACTTCGACTGTAAACTTGGGTGCACACCTTATGATCCAAGTGTGAAATTGTTTAAGAACACTGGTGAAAGTGTTAGACAAACAAAATATGCGAGCATCATTGGCAATCTTAGGTATGTCACTGATTATACTAGATCCGACATTGCATATGCAGTGGGATTATTGTGCAGGTTTACGAGTAAACCGAGTTACGAGCATTGACAAGCTATTAAGCGAGTCATGAGGTACCTTAAAAGGACCATATATCTCAGTTTACATTATCAGAAATTTCTGGCTGTACTTGAAGGGTACAGTGATGCAGATTGGAACATATTATTAGATGATTCCAAAGCAACTAGTGGCTATGTATTCCATAGCTAAAGGAGTTGTATCTTAGAAATCAAGGAAACGAAGTATCATGGCTCATTCCATAATGGAGTCTGATATGATAACGTTAGCGATTGCTAGTGAAGAAGAAAGTTAGTTAAAATATGCCTGCTAACTAAGATTTCCTTATGGGAAAAATCCATGCCAGTTGTGTTGATCCACTGCGATAGTACCGCGGCTATTGCAAAAACTGAGAACCATTATTATAATGGTAAAAGACGTCAAATTAGAAGAAAGAACAACACTGTTAGAGACTATATCTCTAAAGGAGTTGTAAGAGTGGATCATGTACACACCGATGAAAATTTAGCATATCCTTTGACGAAAGGATTAGCTAGAGAGAAAGTCTATAATATATCATGAGACTAATGCCTATATAGAAATGAGTTTCTCATGATGGTAACCCGACCTAAATGACTGGAGATCCCAAGAAATAGGTTCAATGGGTAATAACAAGTTATGAGTAATATGAGATTATCATGCAAGTAAAGCATGAATCCTGAAGTAATTAGAGGATGAGATAATAGAAACTCTTAATGAAATCTATACTCTGTATGAGGGAGTACCTAGGCTACAGGAGTACTCTTGATAGACTCACCTATGTGATTGTGGAACTTAGGCCGGTTCCTATGGAATTTCGAGGCAGGATTCCTAGAGCATTCACTAAACCGGGATACACGTGCAGGGCCATTAAAGTACGGGCTATTAGAATACACCTTAAGAAAAGGTTGTGTGTGGGTTTGATGTCTGAGATAGAGTTCAAGACATTTGTGTCACTCTTGTTGAATCGGAATCCTACTTGCTATGCAAAGGTTCAAGTCGTAGACACCTTTGTTTATGCACAATCTTAGAAACGTTTGACGTTACTTCCAAATTCACCTTTTTAAATTCAAGTGGGGGATTGTTGGAACATGTCCATGTTCCATATTGAATTAAAAAAAAAAAATTTCATTTAGTCCCACATTGCTCATGTGAGAAATATTAACCATCTCACTTTATTATATAAGGAAGTCACTTGTTTCCTTACAAAATACACCAAAAACATTTTATTAGTTTTTCCTTCCTCACTCTCATAACTCTGCGTCTTTCGAATTGTCGAAGCGCCAACTTCTTCCCCTTTCTTTCTACTCGTTGAATTTTCCGAGTATTTTCTTGAATTCTCTTTATAGAGAATAATGTTAATTTCTCCTCGTTTGAGTTGAGAAATTTTCAAGTATAATTTTTTTATTCTCTTTAGAGAATTATTCGAATTTCTCTTTGTTTGAGAAATCTTTGAGTGATCAAAAATGATCATTATTGAATTCTCTTTGAAGAATTATTGAAATTTCTCTTGGTTTGAGAAATATTTATGACTGGTAAATATATCAGATACTACGGTAGTATTTATACCATATTTGAATGGTCTTAGTACCATTAGAGGGTGTATTTCTAGACCGATTATCTATCGTGCAAGTAGTAATCGTACAGTATAGAACTGAGCTGTTTTATCCTGGAGGCGGCGTGGTAGTTCGACTGCTTTGCATAATTTTGGGCAGTACCGCGAAACGTCTTAAAGAGAGCGAACTGATCCGCGACTCAACCCGGTAATTTCTTCAGTGGCAACATTTTTAAAATCATGAACCAACATATCAAGAATAACAAAAATTATACAAAATAGAACACAAACGACAATAAACTGTGCCACTACTCTTATTTAACTTGTCTTGTTTTCTTTTGATTTTATAAATGAAATTTTCGCCATTGAGACAATGGAAAGATTCTTTAATATTAACTTTGAAAGCATGACATAAATAAGCAAAACTCTGAGCATTGAGTATTCTATCAATGTTTACTGCTTACATCCTATACCGGAAATCCAAGCATACCAAATCTATCATTTGAATATCTTCCACTTAGTGAACACGAATGATGGAATGGTACAAACTCTTCTATTCTGTAATTAATCCTCATCGGAGTAAAAATCTTCATCTCTCGGAGGCCCCTTTCTAAGTTTTCCTTGTAGTTCAAGATTCTTCGGCAAAACCAGTTCAGTTTTCTGACCCGAGGTCGAGAAATATCTCTCAAGTAACAACTAGTTAAAAATAATAATAACTATCATTAATCTATAACCACCTTCTCTTATAATTGCCACTTCAAACCAGAAAAAAACACGAAAAATAGATATCCTTAAAAACACAAATTTGTATAAATTTTTCTGCGTAAATGTTACCAAGTTAGTGATTATGTAAATTTCCAGAGTTTGAACTCTGAACTTGTTTAAAACTCGCTCATAAATTATTATTTTTTGGTATAAACAAGATATCTACGTACCGTGGCAGCATATGCATCAAGTTTCTTCTGTCGAGTAGACAAACTTAAGCCCCTGAAAGAGTTTTAAGTGTGTCAATTCCAAAATAAAGAGTATAAGGATAAAACCGTAATACTTAATTAATCTGACAAATATCGATATTGTTAGGCTGAATATTGTCCCAGATTCAAATCCGCAACCTCACAATTATATGTGAGTTTATGGCAGTTATTGTCACTTCGTCTACCAAGTTAAAAAAGAAAGTACAGGGATACAAATACAATATAACCGATAAATATAAGTTTAAAAGCAATTACATGTCGACCATTCGATTGATGGCATCTGCTGTTGTCCCGTGTTCATCCTGTAGATATACTCTCCAACCTCTGAAATTAGAATTGAGATATAAAATAGAAATAAAAGTTGTGATAAAAAATATAAATACATCAAAATACATTACCTCTCAGCAGCTCGAACAGCAAGCCTTCCAGCAACGGTACGGATTATGTTTGACTGTGTCGTTTCCTTTCCGTCGGAAGATTTTGGAAGTCCAATTATAAACTCATCAGCCTCCTATAATTCAAAAATCATATTATGTTATTTCTAATGTTGCAAAACAGATTGTTATCAACTTACATTTTAAGCACTTCATGAGACCTCTTTTTCGGCAATGTTCATTATCTGGACCTCGAGTTTCTGTCCTCGCAGTTCCAAAACCTAAAGCAACTTTAAGATTGTAAAAATGAATGGCTAATGATGAAACACAAATAAGATAATCCATAATTGCACTTAAAGGGTGTTTAAAATAATTTATTAGAACTTATCTACTGGCATAAGCATTACCAATAAAACTATTTGAGAGATTTTATGGAAACATCTTATGACATGTTAATAAGTTGTTTTCAGCTTATTTTCGTAAGTTTTTAAAAATAACTTTTTAAAACAACTAATAGCTTATAAGAAACACTTTGTCTCTAATTTATTTTTGTTAAAAAAATAACTTATACATAAGAATTTAGGATCCAATATGATATACATATCTGGTCTCAATTCAGTATTTAGTTAGACAATACAATATGATAAGTTAACGCTGAAACATATCTTATCTTGTGTGTCTAGTTAAAATTCTTATTATCAAATTAAGCTGGACTAATATTCAGTAGATAATATAAGACAATAAATTAATGATATTTTCTTTTTGTTTATTAAAAATATTAAAATTAATTTTAAAAAATATAGATAATTTTGTTCTAAGGGTGACTTTGTAATTTAAATATAATATATATGTCACTATTAAATGTATACAAAATACATAAACTAATAATATCATGTTTCTTACATAAGATAAGTCTTTCATGTAATTTTCATATATTATTCATCAAAGTTATTAATCCAAGATAACAGAGCGGAGCGGCCGACCCAAAAAATGGGATAGCGGCCGCTATTTGACTATTTTTTAGACTAATTATATGAATAATCTATTAAACATAAACCAAACAAAGAAGAGGAATAGAGTTATTAAATGACTATTACTTAAAAAAAAAACAGAGGTAATGAAAAACATATATAAAATCAAACCAGATTTATTTAAGGGTAAATCTGGGTTTTGGCGTTCAAAACAGTTCAAACCCGCTCGGGCCGAGAAGCGCCCCGTTCCCGCTACCCGCTGAACATCGAATAGCGGCTGCCAAACATCAAATAGCGGAGGGTCACCGCTCTGGGCCGATATCCCAGGATAGCGGCCACTATCGATTACTTTGCTATTCATATCCAGTTTCTTTTCATATTTTGTCTTTATCCTATTCTACGCATCAAACGGACTATATAATAACCTATTATGATATAAGCACTTGATTGAGATGTTGATCCAAACAGAGTCTTAGTTACAAATATACTTTATGCTATTATGGCCATCAGCAATAGTTTCAAAAACATCGCAAAAATATGCACCAAATCATATCATGCTCAACTTAAATAGCACCTAACATCACTAGTAATTTTATCATGCTCAACTTAAAGAACACCTAACACATCACTCGTAATTTCATCATGCTCAACTTAAAGAACACCTAACATCACTAGTAGCTTTATCATGCTCAATTTAAATAGCACCTAACATCACTAGTAATTTTATCATGCTCAACTTAAAGAACACCTAACATCACTGGTAAGCAAACAAGTTCTTTCAGACTTTCAACATACTAAACAACAAACACATTGTATTCCAATGAATAAACTTCCATAACACCTAAAATCACTAATAATAAGCACACAAATTCTTTCATTTTCAACATACAAAACAGAAGCACATGGTATTCTTATGACATAATCTAAATATGAAGGGTTGAATCCCTAATAAGCGGCTCTGCACCGTGTTAGCAATTGACACAAAATACATAACAAATCACAAGTCTGAAAATATCAATCATTGATTTAAAAGCACCAAAATCTTAGAGTGAATTGGATTCTTTCTGTTTTTCAAAATTTTGTAATTTGATGTTAAAGGTAAGCAGTATGCACTAATGTGTTATAGCTTTGCATTGGAACTGGGAAGATCATCAATGAACTAAGATTTCCATATTCAGAATTATTTTCTAACACATCATCAACCAATACACATCACCAACTCTCACCAATTTTTGGTCTATTCCTGCACCTACCTCAAGTGTAACACCTTTCTCATCAACAATGTCACCAAGCTCATCACCGATTAGCAACTTTGTTGTTCCAACATAAACTCACCCTATATCTACCTCCAACTCTAGCCTTAGCACAAATACACCCTCCACAAATCAGAACATTATTGCTTCCAATAACTCTCCATACCATGCTCCCACACTACTATTCACTGATCCATCATCACTTATTCTTGTTCTTGGTCCTAATGCATATGTTCTTTCTCGTAAGTGTCCCTCTTAGCACCATTGCTACAAGTACATCTTTCACCACCCTATCATAAATGCTCTTCATATTCATCCCCAAAACTCTTACCAATGGCTACAAGAGGCAAAGTTCAATCATAGCCTAGGAAAGCCCTTAACAGATTCTGTGATGTTGATTGAGCATCAGATCCAGATGATAAAAGATCAACACTAGTAGCTTGTATCTACTTGGTGCCTAATCTAGTGTCTTGGTGTACTAAGAAGGAGATCATCATAGCAAGGTCAAATATAGAAGTGGAGAATAAAAACTTGTCACAAACATCACTATTACAAGAACTCAAAATGAAGATTACAACTTCGCATATCGATAATTCGAGTATTATTTCTATGGTTCATAATATTATTCTTCATTCAATATGATCACATTTTATTGGTGAGAAATAAAGTCCTAAATAAAAGTGTTATTTCCTCACTTGCTTGCCCAAAAACAAAGTCTTATTAATGTTTTGATTTTGTTACATTTGTTATAGGTAGATTCATTTAGTTTCATTATTGTTACAATCAGTTGTAAATTGTTATAATAAGTCGGACTTAAGTTTTATAGAGTTTACACTATATATAATAATTCCCTTGTCCTTAAGCTATGTTTTATTTTGCTTTTTTATATATTCTTATGCTATTTCATTGTTTTTTCATTATAAAAAAACAAAATCACATTTAGACAAGTTTGGATTGGTAGTATAAAATGTAACAAATGAATAGTAATGGAACTTACAAATTAATGGTAATAATTTTTAAAATCTAACTAGTCTATTTTATTCCCACTCTATTCCACCCTTGAGTCTATATCACACCCTAATTATTCTATTTCTATGGATTCTTATGACTAATATATGTGTGAGCTATGAAGCACAAACATAGATAAAAGTAATAATTCGAGAAAATTAAAGTATTTGAATATAATTACAACTCCTTTTATATGAAGTTTTAGGGTTACATTGTGTGAGTACAATTCCCTTCCACCAAAAAAACCCTTACAGGACAGGACACTAATCCCAACATTTTCCAAATCTGTTTACAAAATAGACAAATAAACAACAATAAATTACCAAATAACATACATAATAAACCCTCATTTCATTCAAATTTTCAAGGGAAACTGAAGAACAACAAAACCTACATAATAACAGTAGACATTTGAATAACAAGATAAAGTAGAAATTGATACCGTTAAAGGGCGAACAACAAAGCCTTTGCTGAGTGCAAGGCCAGTGCGAGCCATTCCGAGGTCCACTCCAAGGGAGAATCCTCCTATCCAATCTGCTTCCATCTTCCTCCGAAGCGCGTTTGGGGGAAGTTCTTCCAAAGGAATTGTACTCTTCCTAATTCCATTGCGAATTTTGGTATTGTGGGTCGAATTTACTTTTGCGAAAGATGGAACCTTTGTGTGATTTGAAGGTGAATAAGAATGGAAGAGTGTGTGGGGTGGCACTAGTTGGGGCAGTTGCTGATGCGTCCACATTAGAGAGAAGGGATAACCAAAAAAAAGTTATGGAAGTAACTGTAACTATTATGCACGTTTTTGAGTTGAAATTGGATGAAAACAAACTTAAATGCAATTTAGTTATTTTATTTTTTTCAAAATATTTTGGGTTCATTTTGGTCCTTTATTTTTAAAAAGTTTTGAAGTGGTCATTTAATTGTTCAAAAAAGACCACAATAGTCATTTCCGTTAAAAAGGCACAAACTGTTTGTTTTGTATATGTGGCAGCTGATGTGGAATGTTATAAATATTTTCTTCATTCTCTTCAAAACTGCACCGTCCCTTTCATTCTCTTTTATCCTAGACTCTCCCAAATTTTAGGGTTCAACAATTTTCTTTCCATTTCGTTTATGTAATTGCTTGAGGAAAATAAAACAAACATCATTAGCGTACTCAGGTCACGTTCATACGATTCGAATGTCAAGAGCGGTGGTTGTTTAGATGACAATTTGCGATGAAAACCCATATGTGGTTGTGGAGACACGACTGTTCTTCGAAGGGCCTCAACTCTCACGAATTTTGGGAAGCAATTTTGGAGTTGTCGTCATTATAAGGTAAGAAAGAAATTAAATGAGTTATCCATCATATTTTTTTCTTGATCTATCCGAATTTTGAATAACACAGGGTTCATCTGGAACTGGATGTGGATACTTTCAATGGTTCTATGATGATGTGGTGAATGAGAAAGAGCAGTTTATAAAGAAGCAAAATAGTAGGTTGGAGAAGCTTCAAAATGACCTTGATGCAGCAAAATCAGAGATATTGTCTTTAAAGGAAAGAAAGGATGGACTGAAACAAAAGATAAAGGGGTTACAAATTGAAATGAAGAAGATGATGAATTCCGGAAAAAATGGAAAAGAATATTTTGTATTGTGTTAATTATGGTCATTTGGATGATGTTGTAATTTCCGTATCATTTTGAATTTGTACGTTTAAGTTGTAACCTTTTGTAATGAATTTTGGTGTTTCCAAATGGAACAAAGTATCATTTTAAATTAGTATGCAACAGTTGTAACACTTCCATAACATATACAAAATCAATTGAATAAAGTCAACAAAAATATATAATTATAAGGTGGTGGATACCACGAATATTCATACATTACATGTCCAAAAAACCTGATACTACAGGTCCAAAACACCACTAGAAATTACAGATCCAAAAGACCACTAGATAGTATAGGTTCAAAACACTTTAAAATAGCTTAACTAAAGTTAACATAACTTAACAATACTATTACATTAAAGGAATTAATCTAAGCTTTCTATTTTAGTGTGACTCTCTTAGTAGGTGTTGTCCTTCTTGTTGTTGGACCTATAACAGTTTTTGATGCAATCAACCTAGTTGTTGGACCAGGTGGGACAAAAGGTGCATTTGGCCTTCTAACTTGCAATTTTTTAGATTTGGGAGTCACTTTCTTGGATGATTTAGAAGCAGTTGGTTGAGATGCTTGAGCTGGCTGAGATGCTTGAGCTGGTTGGGATGTTTGAGTTGGCTGGGATGCTTGACTAGTAGTTGATACCTTGAAAGTAAGTTTGTTGTGTCCTGCTTTCTTACACATGCTACACTTTATAATGAATCTTGTCCTTCTCATCTTTTTATCAGAATCATTTATCTCACCTTGCTCTAAATTTCTCCTTTTTTTTGCCTTCCAGGCATTTTTCTAAATTTTGGGGGCAGAATATCAAGATACTATGTTCTCATCCACAAGTTTGAGTCATTAACATGATATATTACAAGTTTGTACACTTGTATATATCTTAATTTCCTGTAGTAATCAGGAATGTAGTCATCAATCTTGTAGTTCCTACTTTTAATTGCTGCAAGTGAATGAACACAAGGCAGACCTGTTAGCTCCCATCTTCTGCATGAATAGTACTTTTCCTTCAAGTTGACTGAATTTTTCAGCTGAGTTTTTCAGATGCCTCACTTCAAATATATGCTCATCAGACATCCTAACATATAAATACACATTCCAAATATGAATACACTTCAAATATATGCTCATCAAAATTTGTTTAAAGAAATTTGTTTAAAGCAATTTACCTAACAAACCACATGTTTGTGTATGAACTTGTTTTCTCAACCTTCTTCATAATGTTAGGCAACACTTCAACATCTTCCAATTTCTGAAATCTCATCCTGTTTGTAGCACATATCTCCATCATGTATATCATAATTTCTTCCACCATGGTTATCAACGACTTGGCACTAGACTCTAGAATGACACTATTAAATGATTCTGACATATTATTGAGAACAATATCACATTTGTTATCAGTCTTGAAGTATGATCTTCTCCAAAACCTTGGAGGGGTGCTCATAATGTGTTTGTATGCTTCTCCATTTAGCTCTTTTATGATTTTCATCTCTCTTTCCCAAGCTTGATAGTAAGTTGATTTGGCAGCTCTCCATATTATTTCTTTTAGTTTTTTTCCTGGATACCTCTTCCTGAAGTTATTGTAGAGATGCCAAAAACAGAACTGTTGTTTAACTCTAGGTAGCATTTCTTCCATTGCAGGAAATAATCCCTAAGTCATCAAAAATGTTACATGAGAATTTGTAGCAGGAAATACTTATCAATGCAAAATTAAAAATAGAGCCATATCTTTTGTTGATCAGAGATAAAAGTGTATGTGAGGCACTCTTCTCTTCCACCAAGATCATCAATAAGCAGCTCTAAGAATCATGCCCAGCTATCCTTGTTTTCACTCTCCACCACTGCATATGCTATTGGTAGCATTTGATCATTAGGATCTCTGCCTATGGCTGCAAGTATTTGACCCCCACAAAGGCCTTTCAAAAAACATCCATCAAGTCCAAGGAAATGTATGCTTAACTTAAAGCTTTCCTTACAAGATGCCAAGCATATGTATATCCTTTTGAAATGTAATTTCTGAACACCACCTTCTTGTACAAGTTCGACATTCACTTTTACAGTTGAACATGGGTTAGGTCTTAATAACTCGTATGCATAGTCATATATCCTTGCATAATCCCCTAGGAATGACCCATCGACCATTTCTCTGGCTACAAGCCTAGCCCTTATGGCCTTGGTTTTGTTGACCCCCACATTCCACTTCTTATGTACCTTCTCCTTAATATCCTTAGTTTTCATTCTAGAGTTGGTTTTAAGTGAATTCTGCAACCTTTTGCTCAGCCATTTAGTCTTCATCAACTTCACAATATATTCTCTACTGCAACTATGAGTGTCTACTACCTTTATTAGTTGCCAAGAGTCCTCAGTAGACAATTTAGCATAATAAGATTCCAATTCACATCCTTCCTTACACCTAACTCTAATCCTAGTCTTGTCATTTTTAATGAACTTTAAATTTCTGCCAGATTGGACTGCGTAAGAGGTAATAGCTTCCTTGAAATTTTCTGTTGTACTAAATTAGGTTCCCACTTCCCATTTGTAATTGGACACATCCTTTTGAAGCTTGAAATTGGATACTTATTTCTCCTAACTCTACTGTTATCATCACTATCACAGTCACTTCCTAGATCATCACTTTCATTATCACTTCCTTTGCTATCTTCTTTGTTTGCTTCACACTTTTCTTTACCTTTTTTTCTTTCCACTTGTTCATCAACTTCATAGTTAATTAGGTTACCTTCTTCCTCTTTCAATTCAATGTCATACTCATCAGAGTCATCATCAAATACTACCTCCATTGCACAATTATAATTGAAGGTGCTATCACCAGAACTATCATCATCATCAGTCAGTCTTACAACATCATCAACCTCGCCAACCCTATGTCCAATATCATCATTTTCAACCTCACCAACCATTGGCCCATTATCATCAGTTCCTACTGCATGAACATCATCTTCCCAAACATCATCTTCCTCAACACCATCCATGCTAACATTATCTTCCCTAACACCATCTTCCCTTACATCAATTTCATTTAACATCTCCTCAAGCACAACTTCTGCCTCATCAACTATCACATTAAGGGGTACCTCATCTAACATAACTTTAGTCTCATCAGCATAATCAGGCTTTGATAACATATGTGGAATAAAGACTTCAACACTAAGATAAACCCTATATAGATCAGCAATCTCTAATGCCCCCTTGTCATCAACCAACATATTCATCCCAGCCGTAGGATCCCTATAATAAACATTCTATACGTCTGCATAACCTAGCTCTTTAATTGCACCTATCAGTTTAAAATAGCTCCATTTATCAGCATCTACTCTCAAATCGGCAATCTCACCTACTTCGTATACACTCATGTGTCCTCAGTAACAAATTCACCATTATGGTGTATTGTAATGTTCAAATATTCATCTATTTCAGACTATGCCCTAAATGGACAGGAAGATATTAGATTTAAGAAAGATTGATTTCAAAAAATCCTAACTACGAAAACTATAATTTTGCAGAAACTTACCTACGACGAGCAGTGTTGTGGTTTCTTTTTCACCTTCAAGAACGTAATGTGCCTTCACTTCACTCACATCTTCTTCGCAGAACAGAGCTACCAACAATGGTTGCGATAGGGTTAGCTTCAAGTGTTGGAGATATGTTCTTATACTTTAACCCATTTGCTTTTCTATTTTAGTTTTAAGATACTTTAATCCACCTGGACATTTTTTAAACACGTGCAATGCCACATATATGCCACATAAGCTCTACCATTGACTTTGACTAACGGTCCAGACAGAAAGGATAAATGTGGTCCTTTTTGAACAATTAAAGAACCACTTTGGAACTTTTTAAAGATAAGGAACCAGAATGGACCCCGAGGTAAAGTTAAGGGACTAAAAAGGGTATTTTTCCAAATAAATTTTTAATTTTAATTTTCTAAAATAAAGAGTATATTGGATTGAGATTTTAAAAGATTATTTTTGAAAAAAAATTTGTTAAAATTTTAAAGTCATTGTGTTCTCTTGGTAGTTGTTCTAAAATAGGTTGTCAATTAGAGATAATCTCTTGAGGTGGAAGATTGTGCCGAGTAGT